ATCCCAACACTCTTTGTTTTCTCAGTTCCAGGCATATCCCTGCAGCAGTTAGGATTTGTAGACTGCAGCTTGAGGAATCCTGGTCCCAGTTACAGTATCTAGTGACATGACTTAGACTCGAAACAGTGATGTCAGGAACACAGGGCTCAACCTGTATGCTGAGCAAGCACCTTCAGTTGTAAAGTCACTCAGGAGCCCAACAGCAGGTGTTCCGGAGGCATTTTCGATATGTTGATGTCAGTGAAAAAAAATCTGCTCCTGCAGTTTTCTTCTTATCATTATGTACTGTACGAGAAAGCTGAAGTATTGTCAGGAAAAAAAAAACAAGATCTTTCAAAAATGTGAATGAAAAAAAAATGAATTGACAGCAGAAGAACAGCATTGTGGGTTTCCATTCTGATTTTAATTAGTAATAATTTTAATAATACAGAACTTTAGATATTGTAAGAAACCAAAGTTAGTATGAGAACAAACATTTAAGGAAACTAGACTATGCAAGTCCAAATCAGCATTTAACCAGATCACCTAAAATATATTTATTCATATAAATAATACTGTATGGTTTTAAAAAAAACATAGTACTTGGCATTGGGTTGTTTTAGAACAAGTCTTGCTGGTGTACAGGAAGACAATTTGTGCTGAATACAAACTTCTTTACAGTATCTCTACTGTCTTTTGGGAGTTTTATATGCTGAGGCCTCCTGAGATGCTTACTTTTAGGGAAATTTGTCACACAATGCACATACTGTACTATACAAAGGCATCCTTACCTTGCTAGTTACAATACATGTAATCGAACATCTATAATTTAATAGCATTTGCGTTTTCTACTATTAAAACAACTGATTATTAATACAGCTTGGTTTGAGTGCGAACGACCAAACATATAATCTAATGAAGTCCAATTTCTATTAACCAGAATCTTAAAACACTTGGTTATAACAGTTCAAGGTAAACTAAAGTATATTTATATGTGAGCTGTCAGCATGAAGTACTGTAGTAACAAATCCATCACATTTGACAATCAAATGTGATTGACTCATTGTCAGGTATTCCTCATTATTAATATAATGTAATTTCCTCATCACTACACTTCCATAAAACTGAAAGTGATATTTTGAACCCAAAATATGGAGCTATCAGGATTAACTACAAACTTAAGATAGCTAAAACTATAAATAACTACAGTATATTACACATGAGCTGCTAATGGAAGAGCACAATGTAAAATAATGTAATCAGATACTGAAAATTATAATACTGCTAAGTCCCTTTAAATGCAGTACATACTATATAGTTAACAGTATGTATTAAAATAATTTAATTATGTTTTAACATTCCCTTTAATGTATATCTCCTTTGTTTAAGACCCATTGGTCTGTTCTGTACCTAATCCCTCATCCTGAATCTGTTAGGCAGATAACCCAGTGAGGTCCTCCATCACACATGAAGAAAATAACAACCCTTAAAAATACAAAAACACAATCTGTTATAATGTGTTGCACCATTTGTTTTGCATAATAGTATGGATTTTCCTGTTTAATGGCATTGCTCTGATCACAGATAACAGGCTGTACACTAAAAGACATTTTCTAACTTGATTCTACGCCAGACTTACCCGCTACCTGAGCCATCTGTTCCTCATGCTACAGGTAGGTAGTTTGCTCTCCACATACCTCCAGATTTCAGTGCTTTGCTTCAGTATTTGATCACTTATTTATTCAGGTTAATTTTCTGCATTTACTACCGTAGGGTAGAGATTTGAACCAACAAGAGTGAGTTTCAAATCCCATGGAGGAGGGATTCCAAACCTCAGGGTGTGAAATCCAGCAGGTATTGTATTGTATGTCTTTTTAAGCAGATCAGGACCACTTCAGAAGAGTTAAAATGGCTCAATTAAACAAGAGACATAAAAACAAAATACTGGACCGCAACATTCAAAGGCAAGAGTGAAGAACCATTTTTTCCACATGAAAAATTCCAGTACAAACTTCATACTTTACATTCTTTATCACTTTCTTTTTTCTTTTGTTCCCCGCTTGCCAGCTCAATACTCCATTTCTATAATGATTTTGCCCTGTGAGCTCAACTGTAAATCTCATTTTTGTCCACGTCCAATGAAACGTCTTCTTACAGCTTTCAGAATATCTCCAAGTCCACCATTATGTAAACAGGACTACCCTGAACTTCATGAAACGTGCGAAAACCTACACTGCTAATGCAGGTCTGAGGAATCATGTACAGGAAAATGTACTGTATTTGCATATACAGTATCTGCAGTTGATGTTTTGGGTGTATTAAATTGATTAATACCAAATGAGGTACCAAATAATTGCAGACCTTCTCCTATTTGTAATCTTTCTTAAGTATTTACGAAAGAGTGGCTTCTGTAACTACTACAGTATATAAGAGTATAGCAAAGATAACTCCATGAACAGGCAAATCAGGAGGTTAGACGCACATAATCAAATCTCTAGGCCCACGTTTTTGCAGGACAAATCACAGACCAGGAAAACAATACAAATGCAATGGAAATGTGTCACCTTCATAAGCAATAAGTAACAGTGTGAATTAGTGTGGAAATGAACAGCACACCCATAGCTCTTGCCTCAAATCCTGACTGACAACACCGTGACAGCCCAGACATACTTTTTATACCCTGTAGCCTTTTTTCCCTGCTAGGCGTGTTTGCTTACAGACATACAAGAATGTGTCCCAGGCTTTTAAATACAGAATCTACAATTAAACTCCCAAATACTCACCTGATACTCATGGATGGGATATAACACAATCTTTTCATTTCCAATGTTAAATAAAATTATATGAATAATATTAATAGTAATCATATGTTTTAACATACTGCTTCACTTGCTGGTTTGGCAACATGAGAACCGGTAATTGTAATAGGCTGGTAAATTAGTAAATAGAAGTGGCAAAATAATCAGGAATAATCAAATCAACTTAAGCATCCTTTACAAACAGAGGGTGACTAAGAAAGCCAAAAGCATCAGGGAGTGTGTGTCTCACCCCCTCCATTGACAATTCACACTTCTCCCATCTGGGAGAGGCCTCTGTGCCCCCAGGTGTACTGTAAAACCAACAGACTCAGGAAATCTTTCATTCCCACTGCAATTACACATTACACTTAAACAGTGCAAAGTAACCACCTCCTCTCTTGTTTCTTATCTCCTGTAACAGGACTGTATTCTCTTCCCTTTTGGTGATGTTTATTTGTCATTGTGCTGTATTTGACTGTGCCGTAAAACACATTTCCCCTAAGGGACAATAAAGCTTGAATTGAATTGAGTTAACTATAACTTTTCAGCCTACACCCGAAGAAGGCTCCACAGCCGAAACGTTGTGTTTTCTTTCTTCTCTTTTCAGCATGGAATAAATCTATTACTCATTCCTTTGCAGCCTACACATCCTGACGCAGCTCCCCTCCTGAACTAATATTAACTATTACCATGAGCAAACATTATTAACTTACATTTCATGTTTTCATTCTTTTTCATGATTCAATTTGGAAGTAAGAAATATGCCCTTCTGTGGGCAGGTGTCTGTAAATGGACATGGCGTGACTATTATATGACAAAATGTACCCTATGAAGGCATCAAGAGCCTTACAGAACAGAATATAGTAAGATTATAACAACTGACCATGTCTTAATTATGTTCTTATACAAAAGAACAGCCAATTAAGTTGAATAAATGCGGCACATAAAAAGCAGCCACAAGCCACAAAGACAAGCAACTTTACTTCTTCTTGGTTATGGCAAATTAAATTTAATGCAAAGGCAATATTTAGAGCAGAGATGATTGATTGAAGCTATTGTCTAGAACATAGAATTTAAATCAAGGGATTTAAATTCTACAATAGCATAGAATTTAAATCAAGGGATGTTATGATGAAATTTTATAATTCACTGGTAAAATGTGATTTAGAATATAGTATCAATTGTTAGTCCTCTTGTTTCGAAAATGTATTGCTGTGCTGGATTGAGTATATATAAGAGAGGAAAGATGTTCCTTAGGTTTGAAAGATGTTCCTACAGTATATTGACAGGCAAAGAGAACTGCAACTTTTAATTCTTTAATACAGAAGACTATGAGGGGACCAGATATAAGTATGGTGGGGCCTGTTTTCAAATCCTAAAAGGCATTTACAGTGTCATGACGATGAATGTCTGAATCAAGAGTGAAAATTGAAACAGAAGACACAAGTAAAAACTACAGACAGATTGATATGGAGACCAGGATTCATATTTTTATACAGCTGTGTGAGTATGGAAAAGAGTAACCAGCCATGTTGAGGAAGATGATAATCCTGGATTCTTTCCAGAAACAGCGGAATAAGATCTTAGGATCAATTAGCTAATGGCAACTAAATGAGCTACTGTAGATGGCCTCCTCTCATCTATAATCTTTCTGAAGTTCTCTGATACTTACAATATGTTACAGTATTCCATATGTATCTATTTATTTAAAGTGAAAGCATGTATACGAATGAACACAGATTTTCATTCAAAATCTGATCATCTTGTTTTTTTCAAATAACAGATTTATTGTAAGAGTGGCTTAAAAAATAATCCATTGAAAGGAAATGGAATGAGGGAAAAATAAAGCAGTGGTATTAACTCTGATGAAGTAGCTTGATTGAATTATACTGTACATTACTTCATTTCTTCAAAGATGTAATAACAATACTATCCTTATTGATTTTTCCTGCATTTGGAATTAAGTTGTGCTTGACCATTCTGTGAAGAGAAAGAATCACAGAGCAACAGAAAAAACAAATAAGAGAGTGTGTTTTAATTAATATTAAAGAACGAAACTACAGTAAGTGCTCTGAAGGTAACTTTCACATTGTTGAGTTTCTGATATACCAAAGTAAATGCCTTTGGATACGTCCAGTTATTGCAAGTGACATTATACAAACTGCTGAGTTATCGGGTCAAGTTTGACAGACAGCAGAGTGAAATACCAGGCTTAGGACATACCGAAGAATTGCGCTTTCTCCTTGGCACACCGTAATGTTGTCAGGTAGGTGGGTGAATTCTGCACCTTCCACATAAAGTCCTGAAAAGGAAGAATAAAGCACAGTTCATATTTAGACTATACAACAACAAAAAGGCTACAAACAAGTGAAGACCACTTGCTCATTCTTGCTTACTGATCTCCCAACCTTTCTTAAAGGCTTATTTCTGACATCCACAACACTTTTACACACACCCAACCCAGATGACACGTTGGAGCATCAAGAGAAAATGCATACAGGTTTAACCCTGTCTAAGAAGCTTTACATCCCTATAATAATATACATTATTATATAACATTATTATTACATTAACACAACAGGTATTGTGGTAGAACTGTGTTCATAATTGATCCCAGATCATCATTATCCAGGACAGTTCAGTTAAAACGTGTTTCGTTCTGTGTGGACTTCTGTGGGATTTCCAAAACATCACAATTAGACTTGTTACAATGCAGAAGAAAGAGATCAAACATTTTATTCTTCATTCTGGACAGGACAGTAACACACCAGTATACTACTTTTATATTTTTATGTGCAATAAAAAAATAGACACCGTAATCTTCTGATTATGTGCTCAAAATTCAGAGAAGTGACTGCATTACCTACCATATTGCATGCAGTTTTGTATACCATTGCACTGGTTTCTGCATGGCGTGAGCATATATGCTTTTTACCTCAGGAACAGCAGTACTTCTCTCATTATCATTGCTGTGTCCTTGTTTCTGTGAAATACTGCAGAAACCAAATAATGCATAGACAAAAATAAGCTCTCGTCATAAAACTCCAGTAACTTTTTTCAGATTGTTGAGGGTGTAATCTGAAATCGTCTTATTTACTTGCATTATTTCTGAACTGCTTTTTAACACACTGACAACTTCACAAAAGTGATTGCAAGCAGCTATGTATTAGTTACTGGTAACACATGGGTTGATTAAAATGTGCTAAAGAGACTATGGAAACACTGTGTTGCCCTTGCCATTGTTGTGATAATAAAACCCAGCACTGATTTCAAAACATTAATCACTTTACTAATTGCGTTGTTATCAGATGTATTCTCAGAAATATGTTAGTAGGAACTCTTGCCAATAGAAATCACACATCTCTAATCACCCAACCTCTAAAACCACAAGCTGGCTGCACAGTACTTTGTACTTGTAGCCCAGTATTAATCTACCGCTGTCAGTCATAATATTTCAAAAATAAAGTTTTGTAATGTATGGATTAATTCTCTTGCCATGCTCCATAAAAATATTCCATCATAGCGCTGGCATATTTCCACTGTTAGTCTTTAAGGGGTGTATCCATAATCTGTTAACCTGCTATTGGCAATAAATCTTTAAACTTCATTGCTTTACTGCAACATTTCTCAAAATGAACTTTATCCTAAGGGCTGCAGCCATATGCAGCAATAAACCCGTGAATTGCCCTGAGCTGACAAAGCTTTAGTCAGAACCACAGCTATGCCTTGGTGCAATGCAAATATTGAACTGAATGAGAGTCTTTCAGTCTTGGGATGTTACAGAAATGCAGATATCCCCAAGATATTGAGCTAGACAATTTTACATTTCAATGAACAAACCACGCGGCTGAATTGGAGCAGAGAAGGGAAAAAAGGACACGAAAGCAACTAAACTGGAAACCTGGGTTTCAAAAGACCTGATTGAGACAGGAAAGGTTGCTTATGGAAAGAATGATAATATTGAAGATGCAGAAACACCAAATCGTATGAAGGAATGCTGGTGAGGCTGTATTTTAATGTGGTCTTAAGTAGCCAGCACATCAAGTAGTGGCTACATATGCTACAATGACATTCACATCCTTTATGGCTATTTTTTTCAATGGCTTTTTTTTTATGACCCTGCCCCTGAAATATGCAAGGGCTAGTTATGAAGCCTCTTCAGTTATCATGAAGACCTTTTAGGATTCCTGCATCCTGTATACTCAACAAACAAGGCCCTGGAGGTGCTTGTATCAAGTGCTTGGAGGCTGAACATGTGGAAGATGTATCACTTCAGCTGTTCTGCTGCAACAGAATGAGCCCTCCAGTCGTCTTTATTCTCCATAGCACTGCTTGAAAGTGGCACCCTGTTAAGATGTGTTTGGCGGATGGTGTACTATGGTTTCTCTACAATAAAAGATATACTGTCTTCCAGACAGAAGAAGAATACCCTTGGAGGATCCCAGCACTTTGAAATGCAAAGGTATGAGAACAAGGATGCAAAGCAAGATTGTCAACAAGAGTTTGCCATGACCAGACTGCACAATACACAACCAGGCATCTCCCAAGTCCACACCTCCTCAGCTTGTCAGAGGGTGTGCAGATAACTTACTGGTCTTACCTCTAGTTACCTCTAAACAATCATCCGTGACCATTTGGTGTAGGCAATAAAGTATACACTAAGATATTTAAAGATTCTCCTTTAATAATTGTTGTTGTTTTTATTTTTTAATATGCTGTGCTTTTCTTGTTGGTGTGTGTAGTAATGTTGTAAGTTTTGTTGTTTGAATACCTGTACTGTACATACAGTATACCATAGTGCAGCATATTGAGAAAGACTCTGCTTTGCTAATGGATGGATGGATAACTGGAATCATGGGATCATGGCATGGATTGTGGGATCATGTCTCTACTGCAGTCATTGCTACTGTATTTAACCTTGAGTGGGGTTTTTTATTCCAATTTCTCCAGTTCACTTAACTGTATAAATGGGGATCAACATTGCTGGGTTTAATTCCTGTGACAGACCAGCATCCTGTCTGGAAAGAGTCATGTGCTCTCTTGTTTATTTAATACTGCGGAAACCAAGATTAGCTCAAGCCAATCAGGATTGGAAATACATTGCATGCTTAATGTCGAATTCATTTGCAGGCATAGGTTGATTATTTTTTTTTGTTAATTGTGATCATTTGATTAATGTTAGTTTGTATTACTGTAAGGTCCCTTGGTTAACGCCAAACACAATAACAATATTAAACTGAAACTAAAGTAAACAAAAATTAAAAGAGTTGACAAATTAATGTCTCTTACAGGCTGTTTGGCCTAGTTTTAATAAGCTAAAACCAGAGGGAAAATTAAGATCAGGGATTTCAACCTCCTTCACACTGACTGCAATGTAATGGTTAATCTTTTAATGACTGTCCTTCCAATTCAGTTCTTAAATGTCCCCACAAAAGGGTAGAGCTTATATTGATTTGTTATTTTTGTAGAACTACTGCAAACCCAATAAAAACAACACCATAAAATCAATAACAGCACAGAAACCGCTGAGGATAAGCGATCATATTAACTTTTTTTTTCAGAAAAGTGGTGGATTGCACATTGTTAAGATTTTTTAATTATACTGTAGCTGTGTAGCATATGTTTCTTCAGAAAGCAATATATCTACATTTATGAAGTTTCTGAAGCATTGTAAGAAAGTCACAAAAATCTAAAATACTTAAATATAGGGGTAGCACAACTCCAAGAGCGATATGAAACAACACAGGTAGAAAAACACAAACTGTGCAACAACTAAAATTAAAATTAAAAAAACCTTACAGAAATGAGAAAACCTCTCTTAATAAATCTTTAAATAAACATTACTTTAAGAGAAACGCATTTTAATATGCATTTTTTTCAATTAAAATTCACCTTTTAAAAATTTTCCCATACTTGTTATTTTAAAGACTAATAGCTAAAGTTTTTACCTTAACTTTTCATACCCTACCATGCATAAAAAGCTGGGGAGAATGTAAAGGGTGGCTATACATAATTACTAAATCTGAAAAGAATAGCGAATTAATGCATCACATGAATTCTTACAAGAACACACTGTATAATAACAGGCTCTAGGTTATAGAGTCCCCCTTTAACCTCACAGAAATCTCCCCCAATTATTCAAGCTAATTAGATTTTTTAAATTCTTTATTTAACCACATAAGCCAATGGAGAACATGTTCTCATTTACAAAATGACCTGGGGAGTACTCATTTACATAGCAGGGAATTTAATGAAGAAATCTGAGTGAAATACCATGCTCAGGGGTTCAAAGCCAGTGTCCCATCTAGAATTCAAGCCCACATCACTCTGGTCTGGAGGTCCAAGCATTGCTTTGAACTCTACACATAAACCGGAATGTGGAGGACACAATGTTTTTCAAGCCACATGACGCAGCTCTTGGTGTAACAAATATAATTGGAAAGAATAGGAAAATATTTCGATAAGAACGGGCCATTCAGTTCATTACAGTTCACCATTTTCTCAGAAATTAAGTGATTCTATCGCAGAGCCAAGCTCAAGACTTTGAAAGACTCCAGCGTATTTGCATCTACCAGTGTGACTTGGTAATTTATTCCATGCATTAATAATTGTCTTTTATAATATTGTTTTCTGGTTTCAAAGCTTTCTGTACCCTTAAAAAAGTCTATTAGTTACAGATTAGTTAAACAACTCTCTCTGGAACCTGCAACACCCGCAATATCTCCCATGATAGCACTGGTGTTTAGATATCATTCAAACCTTCGCGAATGATAGATTCCATAATTATGCATGATACATGTGTTAAGCCAAGAACTCTATAATTTTCTTCACCAGGATGGCCTCCTTTTTGTATACTGTATCTAGCTTTATGCTGCTAACTCTCCATTCATTTGTGATTTGGAAGGTGACGAAATAGATTTTAAAAGCTTGTATATAGTTTGATTGTACTGATTGTTTTTTAAAAAATAGAAAGATGCTATTGAGACTTGTTTGTTTTAATGTCTTTGTTCATCAAAAAACTTTTTTTAAAGTTGTATTTTAAGTTATCTAATCGTTTTTTAGAAAACAGCTGATTTTGTTGACCAATTGTTCTTAGACTTTTTTTAATACCCTCTTGATTTGCCAGATGTTTCTTTATGTCTTTATTTTTTTGTATGAGAGCAATGACAGCTGAATTGCATGGGGAGAATCAGAAAGTAATCTTTAGTCTTCTAATTTCTCTTTTAATGACAAACATCATGTAATTGGTTTTCATAAGTGATTGTCTTCTAATTCAACAACCTTTAGAAACCTTTTAGGAATTTT